TTGGTTGAAATGATTCCCATGAAAACTGCCATTCTCTCTGGTGTGCGGTCACAAATTTCTAACTGACAGGGATCTGAAGTAGGTATTTTCAGTGGCTGCCTCCGAGTCCACTGAGTCTGCTTATTACAGAAAACTGCCCGACCCAAAGCTCAGCTAAGCCCATGCATTTCCACGGAGGCTTGCAGACCATCCCAGCCTGCACTGACCTTGCCCCCTGCCTCTCTCCCAGGACACGTGGTTTGTATCTCTAGGAAACAACTATCATAATGCTACGTTGGCCAGGAACAGGCTTCTTCAGGTATAGACCATAATCAGGAGGAGAAGAACACTCTCCGGGGACAGCGTTTCACCGGTGGTTTTTCAGGGACCATGTGTTGGCGGCACCCACGGTGGGGTGTGTTGGCAGCGCCCACCCTGGCTGGGTCTGTGCCTCTGCAGGCCTGGGGCCTCCCCAGAAGCCAGTGCCTCTCACTAGCCTTTCCCTAATGGATTTCCATTTCTATCGATTGGGGACTTAGATGCTGGCAAGCAATTAGTCCTCATCAGGCAGCAGGAGTTTCCTAAGGGGACTGCCAGCTAGTCTAATTGCTGGCAGCTGTGGGGACGCTCAGCTGCCAGGGACAGGCTGTTAACCCCCAGTGTCCCGGGCTCCAGACAGCCTCCCAACCTAGCGCAGTTCCTCAGGCACGGCAGGAGTTTGGAGATGGCTGTTCTTTATCTTAGAAACCTGTGTTGAGAGATTTGCTTTACTCTTCAAAGACACTTTGAGATACAAAGTGTGTAGTGCTCAACCCTTAGCAAGAAAATACCTCAGAGAGGAAAAAACAAAGCAGCATTTACAAATGGTTTCTAGGCCAGCTTTGTGGCTCACCTTATAATCCCAGCACTTTGGGAGGCCCCTTGGACCACCTGAGGTTGGAAGTTCAAGAACAGCCTGGCCAACATGGTGAAACCCTATCTCTACTAAAAATACAATAATTAGTCTGGACGCCCATAATCACAGCTACTCAAGAGGCTGAGGCACGAGAATTACTTGAACCTGGTAGATGAAGGTTTATTTTTTTGAGGTGGAGTGTTGCTCTGTCACCCACGCTAGAGTGTAATGGTATGAACTTGGCTCACTGCAACCTCTGCCTCCCAGTTCAAGTAATTCTCCTGCCTCAGCCTTCTGAGTAGCTGAGATTACAGATACCTGCCACCACATCAGCTCATTTTTTAATGTATTTTTAGTAGAGATGGGGTTTCACCATGTTGACCAGGCTGGTCTCAAACTCCTGACCTCATGTGATCTGCCTGCCTGGGCTTCCCAAAGTGCTAGAATGACAGGCATGAGCACCGTGCCCAGCCTTATATATTTTAAATAGTTAAAAGAGTATAATTTTCCCTGTTCCTAACAGAGAAATGATAAAGGTTCAAGGTGATGGATACTCCACTTACTCTGATGTGATTATTACACATAGTCTGCCTTAATCTTGTGCCCATGAACATATACACCTATTATGTACTCATAAAGATTAAAAATTAGGCCAGGTGTGGTGGCTGACACATGCAGTCTCAGCACTGAGACTGCATGAAGCCAGAAGTTCCAGACCAGCCTGGGCAACATAGGGAGATGCTGTCTCCACAAAAAATAAAAAATTAGCCAGGAGTGGTGGCGTGCGCCTGTAGCCTCAGGAACTCAGGAGGCTAAGGCCCAGGAATTCAAGGCTGCAGTGAGCTATGATCATACCACCGCACTTCACCCTGGGCAACAGAGCCAGACTCTGTTTCTAAAAATAAAAAACCAAATAACTAAAATGTAAGTTTGTTTTGTTTTCTGGGGGATGGAGTCTCGTTCTGTTACCCAGGCAGGTGTATGTGGCATGATCTTGGCTCACTGCAACCTCTGCCCCCAGGTTCAAGTGCATCTCCTGCTTCAGCCTCCTGAGTAGCTGGGATTACAGGTGCCTGCCACCACACCTGGCTAATATTTTTGTGTTTTTAGTAGAGACGAGGGTCTTACCACATTGGCCAGGCTGGTCTTGAACTCCTGAGCTCAGGTATCGGCCCATCTTGGCCTCCCAAAGTGCTGGGATTACAGGCATAAGTCACTGTGCCCGGCCTTTTCAGTTTATTTGAATCAGGATCAAATCAAGGTCACCCTGAACTTAGTTGTGATTGAATGACGAAGTCATCATTTGTCCTATACAACTTTACAGTCTCAATGTGGCAGGTTGTATCCTCTGTTCTTTTTCTCCTTTTTTTTTTTTTTTTTTTTTGTTGTTGTTGTTGTTGAGACAGAATCTCTCTGTCTCCCAGGCTAGAGTGCAGTGGCGCAATCTCGGCTCACTGCAACCTCCACTTCTCAGGTTCAAGTGATCCTTGTGCTTCAGTTTCCCAAGTAGCTGCGATTACAGGTGCCTGCCACCACACCTAGCTAATTTTTGTATTTTTAGTTGAGCACCATATTGGTCAGGCTGGTCTCGAACTCCTGACTTAAAGTGATCCACCCGCCTTGGCCTCCCTTAGTGTTAGGATTACAGGCATGAGCCACTGCACTCAGCCACCTCACAGTGTTCTTTTATGTGTTCCTTTACCCTCCGTATTTTCTGTCAACGCGTAGAAAAATTTAGACCATTCATGAGAATTAAGTTTGATTGTTTGTTTGTTTGTTTTTAAGTATACCTTGGGGCCGGGCGCGGTGGCTCACGCCTGTAATCCCAGCACTTTGGGAGGCCGAGGCGGGTGGATCACAAGGTCAAGAGATCGAGACCATCCTGGTCAACATGGTGAAACCCCGTCTCTACTAAAAATACAAAAAATTAGCCGGGCGTGGTGGCGCGTGCCTGTAATCCCAGCTACTCAGGAGACTGAGGCAGGAGAATTGCCTGAACCCAGGAGGCGGAGGTTGCGGTGAGCCGAGATCGCGCCATTGCACTCCAGCCTGGGTAACAGGAGCAAAACTCCGTCTCAAAAAAAAAAAAAAAAAAAATACCTTGGGCTGGGCACAGTGGTTCACACGTGTAATTTGAACACTTTGGGAGGCCAAGATGAAAGGATCACTTGAGCCCCGGAGTTCAAAACCAACCTGGGGAATAAGATAAAACCCTATCTCTACACAAAATACAAAACATTAGCTGGGCCTGGTGGCATGCACCTGTGGTCCCAGCTACTCAGGAGGCTGAGGTGAGGGAATCACTTGAGCCCATGAGGTGGGGATTGCAGTGAGCCAAGATAGTGCCAGTGCACTCCAGCCTGAGCAATGCAGTGACACGCGGTCCCAAAGAAATGCAACAAACAAAAACCCAAGAATACTTTCTAGGTGGTGCTGTGGTGCTGTGAACGTCCTTTTGCCTTTTATTCAGGAGACACAAAATGTCTCACTATCCAATAATGTTAAAACTGATCACTGAGTTCAAATGCTGTCAGCTTGATCCGTCTATTCTAAAGTTCCCTGTTAACATTTCACCCAGTAATTTTAGCAGATATTGGTAATCATTGGCTAGAATGATTATTTTGTTAGGGTTTACCAAATGGTAGTATTCTAATGTTTTCATTCCTTGGGCAGGTATTAGCCATAGTTCTTCCATATTGAAGAATTCTCTCATGTTTGGAAAGACAGGATAAATACTTGATTCCTTCCCTTTATCGATATTGAATTAATGAGTTGATTCCTTAAGCACCTTTATGAAAAAATGTTTGGGCTATCGTGATGAACGCATGGATTTTTGTATGTTTTATGCATTTCAATCTTTACAGTCCTTTTCTAATGCTAAAGTTATCCCAAGTTTAATCAATAGCCTTTTCCACCGGGCATGACGGCTTGAGCCTGTAATCCCAGCACTGTAGGAGGCCAAGGTGGGCAGATCACCTGAGGCCAGAAGTTTGAGAACTGCCTGGGCAACATGACAAAACCCCATCTCTACTAAAAATACAAAAAAGTTAGCGAGGCGTGGTGGCGTGCGTGCCTGTTGTTCCAGCTACTCAGGAGGACGAGGCAGATGAACCACTTGAACCCAGGAAGTGGAAGTTGCAGTGAGCCAAGATCGTGCCACTGCACTCCAGCCTGGGTGACAGAGTGAGACTCTGTCTCAATAATAATAATAATAATAAAATAGCCTTTTCAGATTTGTTCTCTTAGCACCACCACTCCTTTTTTTTTCAGCTGCGATTCCAGACAGGATCCGAAGTGACGTTTTATAATCTCTGCTTTGGGTTTTAAGGAGACTGGCTTTACCCTTCTGTGTTAGCCTCTTAAAGCATTACATCAGCCTTAAAGGGGCCAGGAAAGGGTCGTGGTCGTGTACCCTTCTGAGTTGCCCTATAGTCTTTGACATTTTTCTGTCCCGTGCTTGGAATAACAATTTTCCAAGGCGCTGCGTTCCTTTCAGTAGAACTGGGAATTACGGTGACCCTTGCTAACAGATTGTCATTGCTTCTTGCCCAGTGCCTTATGTTTAAGGAGACAAAGTAAACCTGTGTTAAATTCAGTCTGGCATCAGTATCCTACAAATGTAAATACATCTGTACCCATCTTAAACTTCTTCCTTCCTGCCTCAAAGGAACCAGAGTCTAATTATGCTTTTGATGTCTTTACTTCCATGACTACCTCGCTCTCTCCAGCCTTCAACCTCATCCCCTCTGTGGGTGAATCAGAGATGCCCACCACTGCCTCCTGGTCCCCTATCTTGTCTCCTAAACTGGATTGAAAGCTTTGGAACAGCAAGAATGACCTTTCTGACTCATTCTGAATCTTCCACAATGCTGAACACAGAGTGTCTCTTGGCCAAGGCTGCAACTGGATCATCACAAGTCTCTGCCCATGCCACATACTTGGTGGTGACATGATTCCCCTGCTCTTCATCAGTCCCTCATCCAGGCACTTCTTCTCCAGCACCAAAGAAGCTTCATCCCATAACCGATTTATAGGAACAGAATGAAATAAAACTCTGATTGGTTCTGTTCTGAAGAAGCCATGCATTAAGGAAGAAAACTCGTGCCTGGAAGAGCTGTCAGCTTCCTTACAGGCTCTGCAGCAGCCACGTGGGAGGGCGGTCGAATCCTGGAGAAGGAGCGGGTTAATGACCAAAACCCCTCCCGTGGCACACTTGAGCCCCAACACGCACGTGGCGTTCTCAGTAGCCACACGATGGGGGAAATCTTTTCTCAGTTCCTTAATATTTCAGAAACAGTGTGCCACTAGCGATTTCTCGTCTTTTCTAACTCTCTAAGGAAGATTATTTCAGAGAACCAAATAAGAGGTCCATATAGTAAGGCAGAGTGAGCCCAAGAAAAACCCTCTGCACACCCAGATGGTTGTGGATGCTGTCTCAGCAGTGGGCAGAAGTGGGTAGAAACAGTACTGGTCCTCCACACGGGAGGTGTGGACCCCAGAGAGGAGCTCCAGAACTAACCCCCATTCTTGCTTCTTCAATGAGTTTCTACTCATGCATTGCCCATTGGCTATCTTGGTCTGCCTTTGTTCTCCAAAGTTGAAATACTTGAAATATTTACCTACTAAGAATATTCTATCCGTCTAACCAGGATGTTTGTGGTTCTTAAGGTCAAATAAACCACCCAAATTAGCTTAAGAGGGAACTTGGCCAGGCATGGTGGCTCATGCCTGTAATCCCAGCACTTTGGGAGGCTGAGGCAGGTGGATTACCTGAAGCCAGAACTTGAGACCAGCCTGATCAACATGGTGAAACCCTGTCTCTACTAAAAATACAAAAATTAACTGGGCATGGTGGCAGGTGCCTGTAATCCCAGCTACTCGAGAGACTGAGGCAGGAGAATCACTTGGACCTGGGAGGGAGCGGTTGCAGTGAACCAAGTTTGCACCACTGCACTCCAGCCTGGGTGATGGTGCAAGACTCTGTCAAAAAAGAAAAAAAAGAAAAGCAAGAAAGAAGGAGGGAGAAAGGGAGGGAGGGAAGGAAGGAAGGGAGGGAGGGAGGGAGGGAAGGAAGGAAGGAAGGAAGGAGAAAAGAGGAAACTCATTGACTCTGTAACTGGAAGCCCAAGAGCGGATCTACATTCAGGTGCAACAGGATCCAGGGACCCTAACAGTAACTCGAACCTTTCTCCCCGGTTACCTCTGTTTGCCTTGATTCCATCCTTCTGCAGTAGCGTTTCCTTCTGTAGCCAGAATCATCAGCAGCCACAGGACACCTCAGTCCTTCAAGCTTTCTACACCCAAAGGTAAGGTCCACTCTCTTGAGCTCCAAAGCCAAAAAGAGACTCTCCTTAGGGAAAGGGGATGCTCAACAACCCACAACAGCAGATGCTCAGTAGACTACTAACCCTTTTAGCATCTATGTGAACTTGCTAGGCCTCATTCTCCATCTGTAAAATGGAACAATAATAATACCTACCAGTCGTAAAATGCTTAGCCCCATTCCAGCACATCATAACCCCTATATTCATGCTGGCCCTTGTTATTACATATGCCTTTCCTAGATGGTCATCTTTTAATTCTGCTTATGATATCTCCTACTGAATAGAATTTATAATTTTTCCTGTGACTAAATCTAAAAATATTTTATTTATGGGTTCTGGATGATGTCTTATATAGGGGAGACTTCCCCACACCAACGTTATAAAAACATCCTCTTACATCTCCTGGTATTTTTGTAGTTTTATTTACTTATTTATTTATATAGACAGAGTCTTGCTCTGTCATCCAGGCTGAAGTACAGTGGCGCAATCACAGCTCACTGCAGCCTTGACCTCCCCAGGCTCAGGTGATCCTCCCACCTCTTTTTTTGTGTTTTTAGTAGAGAGAGTTTCACCATGTTGCCCAGGCTGGTGTTGACCTCCTGGGCTCAAGCAATCTGCTCACCTCAGCCTCCCGAAGTGCTAGGATTACAAGTGTGAGCCACCGCGCCTGGCCTGTAGTTTTATTTTTAACTTTCAAATCTTTACCATCTGGCCAGGCACAGCGGCTCAAGCCTGAAACCCCAGCACTTTGGGAAGCCAAGGCAGGTGGATCACTTGAAGTCAGGAGTTTGAGACCAGCCTGACCAACATGGTGAAATACTGTCTCTACTAAAAAAAAAATACAAAATTAGACCGGGTGTGGTGGCTCACGCCTGTAATCTCAGCACTTCGGGAGGCCGAGGTGGGGGGATCACCTGAGGTCAGGAGTTCAAGACCAGCCTGTCCAACATGGTGAAACCCTGTCTTAAAAAAAAAGAAAAAGAAAAATACAAAATTAGCTGGGTGTGGTGGCACATCCCTGTAATCCCAGCTACTTTGGAGGCTGAGGCAGGAGAATCACTTGAACCCAGCAGATGGAGGTTGCAGTGAGCCAAGATCGCACCATTACACACCAGCCTGGCCAATAAGAGCAAAACTCCGACGCAAAAATAAAATAATTAAAAATAAATCTTCACCTTTTCCTCAGAAATTTAAAAATTAATATCTATCAAATGTTAAGTTCCTACTATGAACTGACTTGTTTCTAGAATTTTTTTTCTGTCTCATTCTTTACTCCTATGCTAGTTTTAATTATTACAACTGCATAGTAAATTTTGGTATTGCCGAGGGTAAGTTTCCCCACCATCATTCTTTATTTTCTTTTATTATTTTTTTTGAGACGGAGACTCACTCTATATCCCAGGCTGGAGAGCAGTGGCGCGATCTCGGCTCACTGCAACCTCTGCCTCCGGGTCCTGGTTTAAGCAGTTCTGCCTCAGCCTCCCAAGTAGCTGGGATTACAGGCACAAGCCACTACACCCAGCTAATTTTTGTATTTTTAGTAGAGACGGGGTCCCACCATGTTGGCCAGGCTGGTCTTGAACTCCTGACCTCGTGATCAGCCTGCCTCAGCCTCCAAATAAACTTTTTTTTTTTTTTTTTTTTTTTTTAAGAGACGGAGTTTTCGCTCTTGTTACCCAGGCTGGAGTGCAATGGCACGATCTCGGCTCACCGCAGCCTCCGCCTCCTGGGTTCAGGCAATTCTCCTGCCTCAGCCTCCTGAGTAGCTGGGATTATAGGCACGCGCCACCATGCCCAGCTAATTTTTTGTATTTCTAGTAGAGACGGGGTTTCACCATGTTGACCAGGATGGTCTCGATCTCTTGACCTCGTGATCCACCCGCCTCAGCCTCCCAAAGTGCTGGGATTACAGGCTTGAGCCACCGCTCCCGGCCCCAAATAAACTTTTAAATCAACTTATAAAGGTACAATTTTAAATGAGTCAGATTTCATCTTAAAATTGCATTGAATTTATGGATCAATGTAGAAAGAATTCACATCTTCATAAGAATGAGCATTCTTGACTAGGAACCAATGTAGAGCTCCATTGATTCAGATATTCTTCGTGTTCCTGAGTTTTAGACAATAAACGTAACAGGAAAAATAAACTTAACACATTCATTGTTATGCTTAGTCCTAAATATTTTATGTGGTGGACTTTTGTTTTGCTATTGAATAAAATTATTTTTTGCCATTAAGTTTTCTAATTTATTGTAATTGCCAATGTTGTTATTATTATTATTATTATTATTATTATTATTTTTGTGTGTGTGTGTGTGTGACGGAGTTTCGCTCTTGTTATCCAGGCTGGAGTGCAATGGCGCGATCTCGGCTCACCGCAACCTCCGCTTCCTGGGTTCAGGCAATTCTCCTGCCTCAGCCTCCTGAGTAGCTGGGATTACAGGCACGAGCCACCATGCCCAGCTAATTTTTTGTATTTTTAGTAGAGACGGGGTTTCACCATGTTGACCAGGATGGTCTCGATCTCTCGACCTTGTGATCCACCCTCCTCGGCCTCCCAAAGTGCTGGGATTACAGACTTGAGCCACCGCGCCCGGCCGTTATTATTTTTTTGAGACAGTCTCATTCTCCCAAAGTGCTGGGATAACAGGTCTGAGCCACTGCACTCAGCCTGCCAGTGCTATTAATATTTGTGTTTTGCTCATAACTGATTATCCTATTGTGCTCTTTTTATCTGAAAAATCTTCAGTTTTTTAGTTGAGTTATTCTTTTTTCTTTTCTTTTTTTTTTCTGTGGCCCAGGCTGGAAGGCAGTGGCATGATCATGGTCACTGCAGCCTTGACCTCCTGGGCTCAAGTGATCTCCCACCTCACCCTTCCAAGTAGCTGGGACTACAGGCATGCGTCACCATGCCCAGCAATTTTTTTTTTTTTTTTTTTTTTTTGAGACAGTGTCTAACTGTGTTGCCCAGGCTGGTCTCAAACTCCTAGGCTCAAGTGATCTGCCCACTTGGGCTCCCAAAGTGCTGGGATTGCAGGTGTGAGCCTCTGCACCTGGCTAGTTGATTGTTATGATTTCATACATAACAATCATATCATCTGTAAGCAATAAGTTTGTCACTTCCTTTTATAAACTTGCTTTGCTCTCCTTATCTTCTTGCAGTGTCTAGGGTCTACAGTAAGATTTGATTCGTGGTAGTGTGACGCAGCATCTTCATCCTATTCTTGACTTTAAGGAGATTGGTTTGGTGTTTTCACCTTTAAGTGTGGTTGTTGCTGTTGACTTCAAAGTGAAAAAGTTTCCTTGTATTCCTTTTTTTTTTTTTTTTTTTTGAGCTGGAGTCTCCCTCTGTCACCCAGGCTGGAGTGCAGTGGCATGATCTTGACTTGCTGCAACCTCCGCCTCCCGGGTTCAAGTGATTCTCCTGTCTCAGCCTCCTGAGTAGCTGGGATTACAGGCATGCATCACCACGCCCAACTAATTTTTGTGTTTTTAGTAGAGACGGGATTTCAGCATATTGGTCAGACTGGTCTTGAACTCCTGACCTGAGGTGATTCACCTGCCTTGGCCTCCCAAAGTGCTGGGATTATAGGCGTGAGCCACTGAGCCTGGTCCCTTGTATTCTGAGGTTACTAAGAATTTTTCAGGACTGATTGTTGCATCTATTGAAATAATTTTGTTCTTCTATGCTTATCTATTAATATAGTCAATTACATTGGTAGTAGATTTCACAATTACATTGGTAATAGATTTACTACCAATTACATTGGTAGAAGATTTTATGTCTCCCTACATGTTACATGTTAATTGATTTCTGTATTTGATTTACTAATATACTATCTG